ATGCTCTATCACCAAGCTACAAAAGCATATATTTACATGTAAATGTCTATATATAAATTACAATTTTCTAATGCGTATATTAAATTCCATAGAATTTAACGAAAAATTATTTTGTCTCGACATAATGTAACGATATATTTATTGAACAATCACACGTTTATCTTTTAACAATAAATTTTTTATCTACCTTTAATGAATACGTGTAATTAATACGTAGGATTTATATACTATATAAATCCTGACTCTGTGTCGCGCGCCATTTACGAATGAATACGAGTTACGAAAGAATACGAGTGCTTCCGAAGATTTTGAGTAGATACATGAGAAGGTCATAAGGTTATATTAAGATATATTCTTTATTTATATTTTATTAATCACTACTAATATGAAAGTATATTATTAATCTAATAAATAATTTTCTTTTATTTTCTATTAATCTAATAAAAAATATTCTTTACATAAGTCTTCTTTTTCATTTTCTAATATCGTTAAAAACGACGAATATAATAATTTAGACACACCACACGTGATCTGTTTAAAATAATAATTAAACATAAAAAATATACAGAATTTAATTTTATATTTAATTATACTAACTAATGAATTTGACGAAAATAATGAGGCAGTTTATTTTTTTTTTCTTTCTTTTTCTTTCTTTTTTTTTTTACGCAAAAAAGTTGATTCAATTTTCATACAAGTGGCACGTAGAAATAAAACGTTGTAAAGAAAAAAAAAAAGAAAAAAAAAATAAAGAAAGAAATAATGTTATTGTTGTTTATTATCTCGTTAAGACAGTTAACACGAACAAACGATGCTCGATCGTTTTGTTAATTAAAAAAAAAAAATACTTTTTAAGAATTAATTCGTATGAATTCATCAATACGCTTCGTCTCTCACTGTCATCGTCGAATTACTTAGACTAGGAACATAGCAAAACAATACTGAGTGTGGATAGCAGCTAGATGAGCATCATGGTAAAATCAAAACAATGTATTCTGATATGAGTGTTTATAGAGAAGCGAGAAGGAGAACTGTGAGGAAGATGACGTATATTTTACTTCGCTAGTCTAGCAATTCTCCTCTCTATTGTTCTCTTCCATCTCCATTTCACTATAATCCTGTACATACTTTTAAATAACCACGACATAGCTTATTTCTGAGTAATCAGCTAAGTGTTTTTTTCCAGAATAAATATATTTAATGTATACTATAAACTAAGATAATATTTCTAAAATTAATCATTACTTTGTAATATTATACATGAATTATGAAAAACGTTAATATCTTCTTTTTTATTAATATTACGCAATTTATCAGAGACTTGATGACGATAGAGAAGACAATTCGTGAAAACGACCACTGGCACACGACACGTATACACATCAAATGTACTGATTAGCTTGATAGAGTTAGTTGTAAAGGCAATTTTATAAATAAAAAAATAAAATAAAAACATGATATTTTTTAATTACGCATTTTCGAAAAGTTTCACCTAAATCAAGCTCAACTCGTTACATATTTCTTCCTACGTATTTATATTATATTGTATATCGTGATTTCATTTACTTACTTAAAGATTTCTTTTTTACTTTATTGAAAATAAAAATTGATTTTTTCATTATAACGCGTTTTAAATAAATAAAAATAACACGATATCGTTATACCTGTATATATATATATATATATATATATATATATATATATATATATATATACAGTATGTATATATATATATATATATACAGTATGTATATATATATATATATATATACAGTATGTATATATATATATATATATATATATATATATTCGTATTTAAAAAAAAAAAAAGTAAAAATAGGACAGTTCACACTTAAATACAAAAACAAAAGATGAGTAATAAATTTTAATTTAAATTGAATCAAATGGATAAAGAAAGAAAAGAAAAATAATTAAAAAATTAAAACGATGTAAATATTTTATTTGTTTATTTATTTATTTTTTTTTTTTTTTTTTTTTTTTTTTATTATGGTTTTAACAAATATACTATGATGTATTTTATATTTTTCTTCGTGAGATTCGTGAGAAATATGATTCAGAGAAAGTTTTCAAAATGTAGTCTCATGGAGAATGTGCTTTTCAGTTTGCACCTAACGGCCCTTATGGAAATAAGGTCCAGGACCGAAGGGTCTTCCAAAGAAACAGCTGCAGCTGTAAGCTGCAGATAGTCCATCCTGTCTTCTACGAAAACAAGAAAACGAACTCGTTTCGATTTAACTCTCTTTCTGATTATGATGGGGACTGGTACATGGTGGGAATTGGAACATGGTGGGGTTTCGCATATGGTAGGTATAAACAGGAAAAGGAATGGAAGGGAGAAATATGAACAATAGGAACCATACCAGAAACCCTTGGGAATTATTCTGTTTTCACATTTTCAAACTGACGTAATACAGAGATTTAAAAGAAGAATTAAATAAGAGACTAGATGTAAAATGATATTGCTTTTTTTTTTTTTTTTTTTTTTTATTACACAGGATTCTTGGAGAAATCAGATTTAACTACAATGGTTCCAAAAAATATTCGTACGTTCTAATGAGAATAATTTCATAGCATTTTATTTCAATCATTTATTCAGTGATCGTCCTGCTTATTTTTATTTTTTTTTATCTCTTTTTTTTTTCTAACAATATGTTATTTATTATTATTGATATACAGATATATGAGTTATTTGAAAAATTTATATGTATTATATAATGTAAAAATTTTTTAAAGAAATAGTGCCATATTTTTTAGCTCATAAAAAATATTCGGATACTGTTCATTTTTATTATTTATTTAATACAATTTATTATCATAATATAATTTTAATATATCAAGGCGAAAATATTCTATTTTAGAACGTATTTTAATCTGTTTGGTATATCGTTTTTTTTTTTTTTTTTTTCTTAATATTTTAATTATATAGATTTATTCATTCTCGTATATTCGTTTGTATTCAGCTACTGAAGGAATTGAATTTTTTTGCAATTTTTCTATTCAATTTATCTCACATATTCTCAATAGGATTAAAATCCAACCATTCTAATGAGATATGAAAAATTCATAAACCTTTCATAATAAAAAATCTTACATAATGTCTGCCTAATGCTTGATATTGTTATTCTGATAAAACTTAAAACTAAAACCATAAATTATCTTTAAATATGTTTATGTAAAGATTTTTAATCGCGATAAGGAAAAATCAATAATATCGAAAATATCATCGAACATTAATTTTCCGTACATATGTACATAGAAAATAAATAATCTAATAAATAAATAAGATAAATGAGATTAATTCTAAAAAAAATTATCGTATTTGTTATATTTCGCAAATATTCTTTTTTATGCCTATAATTTTACAATTTATTTTAATCTTGAACGAAACAAATATAGGCATTCTATTACGTGCTGTACAGATTTATTTGTTTCTCCTACGTCTAACATTATTTACTAGTGAAAGTAAACAAGAAAATGAAAATATTAACCAACCTAAACATTTTACACCTTGTCCTCTTGAATGTTAAATGTGCTACGCGTACATATCTGAATAAATATGTTTGTATTTACTAACATATATATATATATAAATGTATGCATAATATACGAATATATCGAAAGAGAGAAAAAAGGAGATAAAATAAAAACAATAGATTTCTTCCGAGATACTTTATTTTCATTAATGATGATCGTTCAATATATTATTAATTCTTTAACAAATTGATTAAGATTTTTGTACATTTTATTCTGAAAATAACAATTACATTTCCTTACAATGATAAATTATTGCAACTCTACTTATGTGTGTTTGTACGTGAGTGCAACATACGTAATATGATTGTATCCTTATCGATAGCTTGATTAATCAGTTAACAATTTTGTTACGGGGAAGTTTTTGTACGAAATATATAAAAATTCCACGAAATAGTAATATAAATAAATAAAATTTTGAATATTACGATAGGAAATTTTATTTTTGTTTATACTATTTTAATGGAATTCGTCAGAGAATTTAATTTATGTCAAATATTATCTTCCTTAACTTTTGAAGCGAGAAAAATCTAGTACAGAGATATTATTGTATTATAATAATAATAATAATTTATATGTATATATTATAAATATTATAAAATATACAAAAAATATATAATATTATGTATTTTTATATATCATACTCATACATTTTAAATAATTAAAATATATGAAAATATATAAATTTTTTCTATTAATAATTTCTTTATTCCATTTATTAACAAATCATAATAATAATTATAATTATTATTATTATTAATATCATAATCATCAAAATCATTATTATTATAATTTTAAGAATTTTGCATTACGTATAATTCTATAAACGGGCATATGTACATATACGCACATATATACATACATAAAATTACCCTCCCAAACAAGCTGCAATAAGTCCTAAGTCCCACTACGAAGTTTAAATCCCTCCCTCTGTGTACAGATGTGCGATTGGTCAGAATCCTTCCCCTACCTTTCGAATCATCGAGTTATAAAGAAGGGCTATCGAAATGCAGTCCCATTCGAAAAACAACGCTCGCCGGTACGGGGTCATTTTTCGAACGTACATCTCATAATCAGTGAAACGAACAGAAATCGTTTCTTCTTTTTAACGAAGTGAAGATGTATATAGAATACAAGGGAGATTCTCGTCTGCAATTCGGATTGAAAGTCAGCAACTCAGCAACGAAAGGACCACATATCGCAACGTCTCAATCGTGCCATCGTATTTTATTCGGTAAGTTGAAATAAAACAATAAATGCACACTCGCACTATATTATCTAAAGATTACATAATTTTTATTTCGTGCAATAATCAGATCGAAACAATCAAAACAAAGATTTATCATAAAAAAAATTTTTTCGATCCAACTAAATGCCTGTCGCATAATATTTGCATATCTCTAGACGATTATTCGTTAAACAATGTTATTCATTAAACAATATTTTTCATTAAAAAATATTTTTCGTTAAACAATATCAAAAAAAAAACAGCAGAATACAAAATGCATGTTCCGACGAATCTAATGTACATGTTATTATTTGTTCCTTTATACGAACAAGCTCGTGATCCTTGTAGATCAAATAGATATTCCGTTCTTGAGGCGCTTTATTCGATTAAATATCGACATAAATCGATCACATTGATATAGATTTTGATGATAATAATAATAATAATAATAATAATAATAATAATAATAATAATAATAATAAAATAACGTGATTGTAACCAAACCAAATAAGCTTTTGCTAAATGAATCTCCAATAAATCTCCAACGAATCTCTGTTAATATTCGCGAAAAATGCATAAAGAAATTAGTTAATTCAGCGAAAGGAACAATCCAAGGAAATAATAAATCGTAAATTGAAATAGTTAGGATAAAACGTTTAAAAAACGTTGCTTTGAATAGTTTTCTAACCGGATTAGCAAATACAGAATTAGAAAATGAAGTAAGTTATATCAATTAAAAATCTCTAAGAGTAAAGTTATTAAAAATTGTGATAACAAATTGAAAATTGTATTAAAAATGAACATGCAAGATTTTCGTGATAATCATGATTAGAAAAAGCTTACGGATAGAAGACATGATGGCCTACGAAAATACATGATTAATAACATATTTAATAATCATTAATGATAATATTACATTACAAATAATATTCGATGTATATATATATATATATATATATATGTATATATATTCTCAAAATATGATACTACAAATGACTATAAAACAACACGACGATAAATTTTGTCGAAAAAAAAATTGCTAACATACCGATCATAATTTCGAAGAATTCAGAATATTGAAAAATAGAAAGTTTCGAAAAATAGAAAGACGAAAACACAGCTTTGTTGAATTTCATAGAATACAAAATCTAGCATCGTACATAAAAATTAACAATAACCCATCAATATGCAAGAGAATTCATAAGTATTGTAATCGTGTAGCGATCGAGTACACGATCGACGAATTTAGAGTTTCAATTATCTGGAACAAAAAACTCTCGGATAACTAAAAAAAAAATTCACGGATATATAAATCAATATTGTCACGGAAAAAATTACAAAATTATAAATAAATTTGAACTCTCGATAAAGTAGGAAAAATAGATAAAGTAGAAAAATTGTCCGAGCGAACGAATTCAGGAAAATATTCTCTGATGTTAACGAAGTTCGTAACAGATTAAATGAAAGCATTAAATAATTTTCAAACGATGAAACAAAGTTATTAATGAAGTAACTATATCTTATTAAACTTGAGACTGTATTAACAACCGCGATTGTTTCGATTTTAATAAAATAATAGGATGCACGGATATAACAGCAGTAACGATTAAAAGATTGAAAGAGATCATGATTTTTAAAAACGACGATCGAAACTTTTCATACTGTTTAAAATAAAATTTTTAGTAAAAGGAAGTATATCAGTATTTTTTTCATTATATTAATATTAAATAATAAATATTTTAAATTTAGAACGTTAGTATATTACAAATATCTCTAAAATAAGAATCTGAAAAATTATATGACATGACGACGTTCAGTAATAGATGGAGTGAAAAAAAAATTCCCACATCGATTAGAGAATACGAGAAAAAAAAATTACTTGAGGTATTATGGAAAACAAAAAATATCGGAAGAAATATGTATCCCTCTATCGGTGGCAATACTATAGTTAATATGGGCAATCCTGACTGATCGAATTCTCAGAAACTAAATATAGATATATATAATTAAAAAATCGAGTTATGATTTAAAGCAATTAATTGAAATAAATGCTATAGAAGATACAAAATTAGATGACAATACAAAAAATGAAAGATTCAATCAGAATCACATCCTAACTATAAAGCTGAGTCATCAAGTAATTGAAATATGGCAGTAATTGATATTTTCCATACCCTACAAAATTTTTGATGGAACAAGGAAAAATCAAGAGTACAGATCATTCAAATAAAATTAAGCGAATTCAAAATCATTCAATTATAGAATTTTAACTATATTGTAATATAATTGAATAATTAACTACTATGATATAATTGAACTAAGCGCTATGAAATGTGCATAACTAGTAGATATATCAAGAAAGATAGATTCAATTCTTATCAAACCTAATAAACAATTATTTATGCATGAAGAAATTTAAAAAAAAAAAGTCATGAAAGGACGAATGTATTACAGAGGGAGAAATTCTATAGTAGGAACCTGATAAATTATATGACATGAAGAATTCTAGTAGATGGCAAATAGGGAAGATATCTTCACATCTTTCAGAAGATAGGGAATTATTTAATAAACCTAAGGTATTACGGAAAAGGAAAATAACCGGAAGAAATATGTATCCCTACATCAGTTGCATTATTTAGGGGTATTATGGACAATCTTGACAGACCGAATACTAACGGACATAATATAGATTTCTTTAATTGAAAGAACAGAGTTGAGATTTAACAAAAATTAAAATAAATGCTATGGGACGTTCATAACCTGTTGCCTTTGCAAATAAGGAAAGATTCAATAAGAATCGCTTAAGGTGATATCTACTAATATTTGGAATAATACAGTATTTTATAATTTCGTGTAAAACTTTTCATAAAAGGAGTAAAAATTAAATGTACATACCTTTCATTTAAAACTAAACCAACTGAGAATCATTTACGTGCAGAGTTTTCATTAGTAACTGAAATCATATTGAACTAAGCGCTATGAAATGTGCATGACTAGAAGATATTTCAAGAAAAATATATTCAATTCCGATCAAACGTAATGCACAATTATTTTTGCATGAAGAACTTTAAAAATATCTATGCAAGTGTATAATTCCTGATGAAACGAAGAAAGTATTACAGAGGGAGAGAAGAAAATTTAGTGTACATACCTATCATTTAAAATTAAACCAATTGAGAATCATTTACGTGTAGAATTTTTATTAAAAGTCCTATTATATTGAACTAAGCGCTATGAAATGTGCATGACTAGTAGATATTTCAAGGAAAATATATTCAATTCTAATCAAACGTAATACACAATTATTTTTGCATGAAGAACTTTAAAAATATCTATGCAAGTGTATAATTCCTGATGAAACGAAGAAAGTATTACAGAGGGAGAGAAGAAAATTTAGTGTACATACCTATCATTTAAAATTAAACCAATTGAGAATCATTTACGTGTAGAATTTTTATTAAAAGTCCTATTATATTGAACTAAGCGCTATGAAATGTGCATGACTAGTAGATATTTCAAGGAAAATATATTCAATTCTAATCAAACGTATTACACAATTATTTTTGCATGAAGAACTTTAAAAATATCTAAGCAAGTGTATAATTCCTGATGAAACGAAGAAAGTATTACACTTGGAGAAACTGTAAAGTAGGAATCTGATAAATTATAGGACATGAAGATTTCTAGTAGATGGCACATAGGGAAGATGTCCTCATTTCTTTCAGAGAATAGAGAACTATTTAATAAACCTAACATATTCTGGAAAAGGAAAATAATCAGGAGAAATGTGTATCGCTACATAGATTGCGTTATTATGGGAATTATGGACAATCTTAACAGACCGAATGCTAACGGAGATAATATAAATTTCTTTAATTAAAAGAACAGTGTTATGATTTAACAAAGTAAACATAAATACTATGGGGCCTACAAAACTATTTGTCTTTGCAAATAAGGAAAGATTCAATAAGAATCGCTTTTAACTATTAAGGTGATATCTCATAATATTTGGAATAATGCAGCATTTTATGATTTCGTACAAAACTTTTCATGAAAGGAGCAAAAATTAAGTGTACGGACCATTCTATTAAAATTAAACCAATTGTGAATCATTTACGTGCAGAATTCTTATTAAAGTTACTTTCCAATTGAACTAAGCGCTATGAAATGTGTATAACTAGTAGACATTTCAAGAAAGATAGATTCAATTCTAATGAAACCTAATACACAATCACTTTGCATGATGAAATTTAAAAAAATCTATACACCTGTAAAATTCGTCATGAAAGGACGAATGTATTACAGAGGGAGAAATTCTATAGTTGGAATCTAATAAATTATATGATATGAAGAATTCTAGTAGATGGCAAATAGGGAAGATATCGTCACATCTTTCAGAAGATAGGGAAATATTTCATAAACCTAAGGTATTATGGAAAAGGAAAATAAATAAAGAAATGTGTATCCCTACATCGGTTGCATTATTAAGGGAATTATGGCCAATCTTAACAGACCGAATTCTAACGGACATAATATAGATTTGTTTAACTAAAATAACAGTGTTATGATTTAACAAAGTTAACATAAATACTAAGGGCCCTACAAAACTATTTGTCTTTGCAAATAAGGAAAGATTCAATAAGAATCGCTTTTAACTATTAAGGTGATATCTGCTAATATTTGAAATAATGCAGCATTTTATAATTTCGTGTAAAAGTTTTCATGAAAGGAGCAAAAATTTAGTGTACATACCATTCATTTAAAATTAAACCAATTGAGAAAATTTACGTGCAGAATTTTTATTAATTGTAATATTACATTGAACTAAGCGCTAGAAAATGTGCATGCCTACTTGATATTTCAAGAAAAATATATTAAATTCGAATCAAACCTAATACACGACTATTTATGCACGAAGAACTTTAAAAAAATCTATCCGCGTGTAAAAATCTTGATGAAAGGACAAATGTATTACAGAGGGAGAAACTCTGTTGTAGGAATCTGATAAGTTATAATACAAGTAAACATCAAGTAGACGGTTCATAGGGCAGATATCCTCATTTCTTTCAGAGAATAGAGAACTATTTAATAAACCTCATATATTCTGGAAAAGGAAAATAATCAGAAGAAATGTGTATCCCTACATCGATTGCGTTATTATGGGAATTATGGACAATCTTAACAGACCGAATGCTAACGGACATAATATAAATTTCTTTAATTAAAAGAACAGTAAATACTGTGGGGCCTACAAAAATATTTGTCTTTGCAAATAAGGAAAGATTCAATAAGAATAGCTTTTAACTATTAAGGTGATATCTCCTAATATTTGGAATAATGCAGTATTTTATGATTTCGTGCAAAACATTTCAAGAAAAAAGCAAAAATTAAGAGTACATACCTTTCATTTAAAATTAAACCAATTGAGAATCATTTACGTGCAGAATTTTTATTATTTATCATATTATATTGAACTAAGCGCTAGAAAATGTGCATGAATAGAAGATATTTCAAGAAAAATATATTCAATTTTTATCAAACGTAATACACAATTATTTTTGCATGAAGGACTTTAAAAATATCTATGCAAGTGTATAATTCCTGATGAAACGAAGAAAGTATTACAGAGGGAGAAACTGTAAAGTAGGAATCTGATAAATTATAGGACATGAAGATTTCTAGTAGATGGCACATAGGGAAGATATCTTCACATCTTTCAGAAGATAGGGAATTATTTAATAAACCTAAGGTATTATGGAAAAAGAAAATAATCGGAAGAAATGTGTATTCCTACATCGGTTGCATTATTAAGGAAATTATAGACAACTTAACAGACCGAATTCTAACGGATATAATAGAGATTTCTTTAATTAAAAGAACAGTGTTATGATTGAACAAAGTTAATATAAATACTATGGGACCTACAAAACTATTTTTCTATGCAAATAAGGAAAGATTCAATAAGAATCGCTTTTAACTATTAAGGTGATATCTACTAATATTTGGAATAATGCAGCATTTTATAATTTCGTTTAAAACTTTTCATGAAAGGAGCAAAAATTTAGTGTACATACCTTTCATTTAAAATTAAACCAATTGAGAATCATTTACGTGTAGAATTTCTATTAATAGCACCATTATATTGAACTAAGCGCTATGAAATGTGCATGACTAGTAGATATTTCAATGAAAATATATTCAATTCTAGTCAAACCTAATACACGACTATTTATGCACGAAGAACTTTAAAAAAATCTATCCACGTGTAAAATTCGTGATGAAAGGACAAATGTATTACAGAGGGAAAAACTCTGTAGTAGGAATCTGATGAGTTATAATACAAGTAAACATCAAGTAGACGGTTCATAAGGAAGATATCCACATTTCTTTCAGAGAATAGAGGACTATTTAATAAACCTAACGAAATATGGAATAGGAAAATAATCGGAAGAAATGTGTATCTCTACATCGGTGGCATTATTATGCGAATAATGGACAATCTTTACAGACCGAATTCTAACGGCTATAGTATAGATTTCTTTAATTGAAGGAACAGAGTTATGATTTAACAAAAATTAAAATAAATGCTATGGGACGTTCATAACCTGTTGTCTGTTCAAGAAGGAAATATTCAATAAGAATCGCTCTTAACAATTAAGATGAAATCACCTAGTTATAGAATAATGCAGCAGTTTAAGATTTCGTGCAAAATTCTTTGAGAAACGAGCAAAAATTAAGAGTACAGACCATTCTCTTAAAATTAAACCAATTGGGAATCATTTAGGTGTAGAATTTTTATTAATCCAGGTAATGTATTGAACTAAGCGCTATGAAATGTGCATGTCTAATAGTTATGTCAAGAAAAATATATTCAATTCTAATCATATGTAATACACAACTATTTTTGCACGAGGAACTTTAAAAAAATCTATCCACGTCTAAAATTCGTAATGACAGGACGAATGTATTACAGAGGCAGAAACTCTGTAGTAGGAATCTGATAAATTATATGACATGAAGACTTCTAGTAGATGGCACATAGGGAAGATATCCTCATTTCTTTCAGAGAATAGAGAACTATTTAATAAACCTAACGAAGTATGGAGTAGGAAAATAATCGGAAGAAATGTATATTTCTACATCGGTTGCATTATTATGGGAATTGTGGACAATCTTAACAGACCGAATGCCAACGGACATAATATAGATTTCTTTAATTAAAAGAACAGTGTTATGATTGAACAAAGTTAATATAAATACTATGGGACCTACAAAATTATTTGACTTCGCAAATAAGGAAAGATTCAATAAGAATCGCTTTTAACTAAGGTGATATCTACTAATATTTGGAATAATGCAGCATTTTATAATTTCGTTTAAAACTTTTCATGAAAGGAGCAAAAATTTAGTGTACATACCTTTCATTTAAAATTAAACCAATTGAGAAACATTTACGTGTAGAATTTCTATTAATAGCACCATTATATTGAACTAAGCGCTATGAAATCTGCATGACTAGTAGAAATTTCAAGGAAAATATATTCAATTCTAATCAAACCTAATACACGACTATTTATGCACGAAGAACTTTAAAAAAATCTATCCACGTGTAAAAATCGTGATGAAAGGACAAATGTATTACAGAGGGAGAAACTCTGTAGTAGGAATCTGATAAGTTATAATACAAGTAGACGGTTCATAGGGAAGATATCCTCATTTCTTTCAGAGAATAGAGAACTATTTAATAAACCTAACGTATTCTGAAAAAGGAAAATAATCATGAGAAATGTGTATCGCTACATCGATTGCGTTATTATCGGAATTATGGACAATCTTAACAGACGAAATTCTAACGGACATAATATAAATTTCTTTAATTAAAAGAACAGTGCTATGATTGAACAAAGTTAACATAAATACTGTGGGCCCTACAAAACTATTTTTCTATGCAAATAAGGAAAGATTCAATAAGAATCGCTTTTAACTATTAAGGTGATATCTACTAATATTTGGAATAATGCAGCATTTTATAATTTCGTTTAAAACTTTTCATGAAAGGAGCAAAAATTTAGTGAACATACCTTTCATTTAAATTTAACCAATTGAGAATATTTACGTGTAGAATTTTTATTCATTGTAATATTATATTGAACTAAGCGCTATGAAATGTGCATGACTAGTAGATATTTCAATGAAAATATATTCAATTCTAGTCAAACCTAATACACGACTATTTATGCACGAAGAACTTTAAAAAAATCTATCCACGTGTAAAATTCGTGATGAAAGGACAAATGTATTACAGAGGGAAAAACTCTGTAGTAGGAATCTGATGAGTTATAATACAAGTAAACATCAAGTAGACGGTTCATAGGGAAGATATCCACATTTCTTTCAGAGAATAGAGAACTATTTAATAAACCTAACGAAGTATGGAGGAGGAAAATAATCGGAAGAAATGTGTAACTCTACATCGGTGGCATTATTATGCGAATAATGGACAATCTTTACAGACCGAATTCTAACGGCTATAGTATAGATTTCTTTAATTGAAGGAAGAGTTATGATTTAACAAAAATTAAAATAAATGCTATGGGACGTTCATAACCTGTTGTCTGATCAAAAAGGAAATATTTAATAAGAATCGCTCTTAACAATTAAGATGAAATCACCTAGTTATAGAATAATGCAGCAGTTTAAGATTTCGTGCAAAATTCTTTGAGAAACGAGCAAAAATTAAGAGTTCAGACCATTCGCTTAAAATTAAACCAATTGAGAATCATTTACGTGCAGAATTTTTACTAAAGCCATTAATATATTGAACTAAGCGCTATGGAATGTGCATGACTTGGAGTTATGTCAAGAAAAATATATTCAATTCTAATCATATGTAATACACAACTATTTTTGCACGAGGAACTTTAAAAAAATCTATACACGTCTAAAATTCCTAATGACAGGACGAATCTATTACAGAGGGAGAAACTCTGTAGTAGGAATCTGATAAATTATATGACATGAAGACTTCTAGTAGATGGCACATAGAGAAGATATCCTCAATTCTTTCAGAGAATAGAGAACTATTTAATAAACCTAACGTATTCTGGAAAAGGAAAATAATCAGAAGAAATGTGTATCTCTACATCAGTTGCATTATTATGGGAATTGTGGACAATCTTAACAGACCGAATGCTAACGGACATAATATAGATTTCTTTAATTAAAAGAACAGTGTTATGATTGAACAAAGTTAATATAAATAATATGGGACCTACAAAACTATTTTTCTATGCAAATAAGGAAAGATTCAATAAGAATCGCTTTTAACTATTAAGGTGATATCTACTAATATTTGGAATAATGCAGCATTTTATAATTTCGTGTAAAACTTTTCATGAAAGGAGCAAAAATTTAGTGTACATACCTTTCATTTAAAATTAAACCAATTGAGAATCATTTACGTGTAGAATTTCTATTAATAGCACCATTATATTGAACTAAGCGCTATGAAATGTGCATGACTAGTAGATATTTCAAGGAAAATATATTCAATTCTAATCAAACCTAATACACGACTATTTATGCACGAAGAACTTTTAAAAAATCTATCCACGTGTAAAAATCGTGATGAAAGGACAAATGTATTACAGAGGGAGAAACTCTGTAGTAGGAATCTGATAAGTTATAATACAAGTAGACGGTTCATAGGGAAGATATCCTCATTTCTTTCAGAGAATAGAGAACTATTTAATAAACCTAACGTATTCTGGAATAGGAAAATAATCAGAAGAAATGTGTATCGCTACATCGGTGGCATTATTATGCGAATGATGGACAATCTTTACAGACCGAATTCTAACGGCTATAATATAGATTTCTTTTAATTGAAGGAACAGAGTTATGATTTAACAAAAATTAAAATAAATGCTATGGGACGTTCATAACCTGTTGTCTGTTCAAGAAGGAAATATTCAATAAGAATCGCTCTTAACAGTTAAGATGAAATCTCCTAGTTATAGAATAATGCAGCAGTTTAAGATTTCGTGCAAAATTCTTTGAGAAACGAGCAAAAATTAAGAGTACAGACCATTCTCTTAAAATTAAACCAATTGAGAATCATTTAGGTGTAGAATTTTTATTAATCCAGGTAATGTATTGAACTAAGCGCTATGAAATGTGCATGACTAGGAATTATGTCAAGAAAAATATATTCAATTCTAATCATATGTAATACACAACTATTTTTGCACGAGGAACTTTAAAAAAATCTATCCACGTCTAAAATTCCTAATGACAGGACGAATCTATTACAGAGGGAGAAACTCTGTAGTAGGAATCTGATAAATTATATGACATGAAGACTTCTAGTAGATGGCACATAGAGAAGATATCCTCAATTCTTTCAGAGAATAGAGAACTATTTAATAAACCTAACGTATTCTGGAAAAGGAAAATAATCAGAAGAAATGTGTATCTCTACATCAGTTGCATTATTATGGGAATTGTGGACAATCTTAACAGACCGAATGCTAACGGACATAATATAGATTTCTTTAATTAAAAGAACAGTGTTATGATTGAACAAAGTTAATATAAATAATATGGGACCTACAAAACTATTTTTCTATGCAAATAAGGAAAGATTCAATAAGAATCGCTTTTAACTATTAAGGTGATATCTACTAATATTTGGAATAATGCAGCATTTTATAATTTCGTTTAAAACTTTTCATGAAAGGAGCAA